ACCCCCCCCCCCCCCGCTAAAGTGCCTGTCGTGAAATTATACCATGGAAGAAGAGACGGAGCATCTACTTTTAACACTAATACTGGGCTTCTCCTTTCTTAGCGGATGAGCACATGAGCTTTTGAGACACCTGTCCGTTCTTCACACATGGAGGAACGGTAGCCTGTTCTTAAATATAAGCCACAGGGTGGCCTGACGGCCCAAGATACACCATCACCTTGTTGAAGCAACACACATCTGTTCAGCAAATGGCTGGGAAACCCTCTGTGTGGCGTAGTAGGGCATGCTGGCTGGGGATTACGGGAGTTCTAGTCAAAATGTAGCATTTCCAAGGTCTAACGTGGCCTGTATTATGCTGGACAATATACAGTATATTCATCCCATACATGCCTGGGGGTCAGCCTTACTGAATTCACTAGTAGTTTCTAATTCTTAGAGAACATACACAGGCCAGCGTTATGACCGACCTAAAAGAAGAAAAATGCAGACTGCATTCTAGACTTTTCAGGACAGCTTTACTTTCTACGTCTATTCAGTTATGGGGAAAGTTTGGATTTAGCATAAAATTGCCTACAGTGGACCCTTGACTTACAGACGGCTTGACTTACAGACTTTTTGAGTTACAGACTTCTTTGGCCGCAAAATTTAGGTTTGACTTGCAGACTGAGAATTGACTTACAGACCAGAAAAAAACCAAAATGGAACAAAAACGTCCTGTTACGGGATTAATAGGTTTTCAATGCACTGTAGGTCAATGGAGACTTGACCTACAGACTTTTTGACTTGAGAACCGCCTTCCAATACGGATTAAGTTCTCAAGTCAAGACCCCACTGTACAACTGTAGCAAACCCCCCTCAAGAGAATCTAAAAATACCAAGTATTTAAAATTAGTATGTTTCATTTTATTGGAAGAATAAAGAAAGAAAGATATTCAATTCCGGTACAATTTACACAGATAATCCCTGCAAGTGTGTAACTCATTATCCTTCTTCTCTCCATATTTATAGTTACATGTATTTTCTTTAAAAATCCAAAACATTTGATGCAACCAGTTTACTGCAGGATAAATCTCTGGAATAATTGAACTGTGGCAGGTTGATGAAGAATTTGAATCTGGGGAATAATTTGATGTGAGAAACACGTGGCATGTGGAACAGTGTTCAACCCGTAGGATGGAAGAAATTTTAACTCAGCAAAACCATATTCATGGATGCTTTTTACGTACAGTACTTTCTTTTTGTACTCAATGTTATGCTGGGAATGGGAAAAGATTTGCAAATTCTTAAATTCTTCTGGGTCCTTCGCTGTTTTGGATCACAGTTCTTGCAGTCCTTTATCTTCAACCATGCAGGGTGGGACTGATGGGCATTGCAGTACAAAATGTCAGGAGGCTAAAGGTTCCCCACCCCTATCTTTAAAGCAGCTCAGCTAAATCTGAACTGAAAGTAAGCATGCATCCTAAGGAATGATATAGAATTTAGGGAATATGGCTTCGTTCAGTTTCTCCCCATATGTTTCCCCCTCTCTAAATGATACAATATCACATTCATGGAACATAATTTCTGAAAACTGGGGAAAACCATTGCCATATCCCAGATATTAAATGATTCCAAAAACTCAACAGAGAATACTGACAGAGCTTGTAAATTCTGGGTTGGGTGTAACATGACTGAAATGGGCTATCTGAATTTATTTTACCATGGCACGAGAACAAAGACTATGTTAACATTCATTAACTATTTCATATTCACTAACTATTTCATAGAAGCTTGTGCTTTTCTGGTTTCCTCTTCTTCTTCAAATTTCAACTTGTTCTGTTCTGTAACTCCCAGGATTTTTTCAATATCTTTGACTGCTCCCTGTAACAGTAAACAGCTCAGTGGTATTATAGTGGTAAAATAATGATTTATGCTATATCTTTCTAAGATCTTCTTACCATTATACCAGAAACATTCAGGCTTAGACTGAAGTAATCAAGGAACTGCCAGCAAGTACGAAAATCCCAAGTAATCAGAACCAAAAACAGCGGAATTGCTTTCCCTCTATAAGTTGTATAATAAGTATTTCAAATAGTCAGGGCTTGAAAAAATTTAGAATGGTTGTTCTGGATTTTTGGGCTCTTTGGCCGTGTTCTGAAGGTTGTTCAGTCAAAAATTTCACCAGTCAGCATGACCGGACTATAGCTTTGCAATTTATATTAACAAATTTAAACTAGGCACTTGTTCACTTTTATTTTTATGTAACAATGCATACAAACCCAAAATAAATTGTATTATGTACACGGGAATAACTGATTTATACCCTCAGACTTGGGTTGCTTTATTACCTGCATGCCTGTGGAGTCATGAAGCTCGTATTTTGAATGCCTTTCTTTTGAATGTCTCCAAAAAATAAAATAAAACTGAAAGCAAAAGCACCCAGCCTCTTAAGGAGCCACAGTTCCCTCCCACCCCAGGATGTGTCCTCATTCAGTTGACATTGGGAGCAGGGAATCTCCATAGTCTCCAGCATGGGACTACTCTACAGAGAGTAGAGAGCTATAGAGAGCTATATCTCTATGTGCGGCTCAAACTCTCTTCTCGTGAGAAGAGGGCAGTTTTCCTTTTGCAATGGGAGGGGGAGGGGAGGACTGCAGGATTAGAGAGAGAGAAAGAGAGAGAGAGAGAGGCTCCTCTAGCAGCATTTTTCACTTGTCACAGACAAGTGGATGAGTGCATTTTTCAAGCCCTGCAAATAGTGGTGAGCACTCTTCTGAAGCGCTGAAACTATTTAAAGCAAATAAACTATATAATTAACAATTTAGCATTTGGCAGTGTTATTAAACTTCAGCCTTTTGTTGTGCTTCTTTTGGTGAGTGGAGTGTCCATCAGTGCAATCTGATTACTCTGCTGAAAAAGAAGTACAGTGACTTCAGCCCTGCTTATCCAAACTTTGTCCTATCAGAGAAAACAAAGTATTTTAATAGAACAGAGCAAACTCCTGGAGGAGCAACATAGAAGTGGGAATTTCCTCTATTGAAAAAAAAAACCCAAAATATAAAAGGCATGAACTTGAAAGAATGTGATGCAGCAAAACAGGGCTATCAGGTTTCCCTGGTGAAAAGATCCAAGGGTGTGATCACACCTCCCCAAAAAACCCATTTTACTGGTTTGGCTGTTAAATAAATTGTTTCATAATTTTCTATTGACATATGGCCAACATCAAGTCATTTGCCTTGGCAATCACTTTATTTCCCCTTCATCGGTTGTGTTAAATTGTACCTATGATGTATCACTTCGTTCCCCATGATTTCAGCATGTATGAATGTTGCTATCAATTTATTTCCTTTGTGAAGGGGTCAGGTTTCTGGGTGCTATGGTCATTTCATGGCTACTGTGCTTGTACCCATTTAAAAACAATTTTTAAAAAAGGGATATTGGTAAATCAGTAGTAGCATCTGCAGCCACAAAAAACCCATCAAGAATACATTGCTCTCTCTCTCTCTCTTTCTCTCTCTCTCTCTCTCTCACACACACACACACACACACAAAGCAGAAATTTTCTGCTTTGAATTGTAAAGAAAGGAGTGTTGCATTTTTTTTAAAACTCTGCTGTTTACAATACTTTAAAATAACAGGTTAGGTAAAGGTAAAGGTAAAGGTTCTCCTTGACAATTTTTGTCCAGTCGTGTTCGACTCTAGGGGGCGGTGCTCATCCCCATTTCCAAGCCATAGAGCCAGCGTTTGTCCGAAGACAATCTTCCATGGTCACATGGCCAGTGCGATTTAGACACGGAACGCTGTTACCTTCCCACCAAAGTGGTCCCTATTGATCTACTTGCATTTGCATGCTTTTGAACCGCTAGGTTGGCGGGAGCTGGGACAAGCGACGGGAGCTCACTCCGTCACGTGGATTTGATCTTACGACTGCTTAGTCTTCCGGCCCTGCAGCACAGGCTTCTGCGGTTTAGCCCGCAGCGCCACCACGTCCCTTAAAAAATGACAGGTTACCCACCTGTAATTGTAGTTCTTCAAGTGGACCTCGTTGATTCACACTCTGGGTGATTTGCGTCTGCGTGGAGCCTCATCGGAAGATTCTAGAGCTTCTGTGGTACCAATGAACACATTAGAATATGCCCCTCCCCACCTATATAAGTACCTTGGCGCCAAGTGTCGCCTTTCAGTTGTGTCAACCGCCGCTTAATAGTAAGCAAACAATGACGTGACAGAGGGGAGGATGGGTGAGATGTGTGAATCACAGAGGTCCATTCGAAGAACTACAATTACAGGTGTGTAGCCTGTCCTTCTTCATGGCATCTGTGAATCACACCCTGGATGACTAATAAGCTGTCACGCCAAGTTAGAGGCTAGAGCAGCATGTCGAAATGCCGCATCAGACTTTTGCTGGAGGTTGAATCTATAATGATGGATAAACGTGGACTGCTGTGCCCAAGTGGCAGAGCCTCAGATGTCAGAAGAGGTACGCTGTGAAGAAAGGCTGTAGCGGCTGCCACAGCCCTGGTGGAGTGAGGGCAAACCACTCTAGGGGCTGGTTGTCGAGCAAGTTGATAAGCCAAATGCATGGTAGAGGCGGCCCATCTGGAGATAAATTGGGAAGTCACCTGTCGGCTTTTTGTTGGTAGCTGGTGGCTTATGAAGAGACACAATGACTGTCTAAAAGGTTGGGTAACTTGGAGATAAAAAGCAAGAGCTCTTCTGACATCCAATGTATGGAGTATTTTTTTCTAGGTTTGAAGAAGGTGACGGAAAAAGTGAAGGAAGGACAATTGGCTGGGAAAGATGAAATTGAGAGACAATTTTGGGGAGGAAAGAAATGTCCATGAATAACATCACCTTATCAGGAAAAAAATTGTAGATAACGGTAGTCATAGCCAATTCACTAGCTCGTCGAGCTGAGTGATGACTATGAGAAAAGTTGTTTTAAAGGTGAGGAGTCTTAAGTCAGTCGTAGCTAATGGCTCAAAAGGAGCTTTGGTAAGCTGTTTCAAAACAATAGTGACTGTGGTGTTCACCCTTCGTGCCCCTGCCTGACCCTCCAAACACAGAACACACAAAGGCAAACCAATACAGTACTCCATTTTACCCCGCTGCCACCAGTTGATCACTAAATCAACATTACTTATAGAAGGATGAAGATGCAGGTCCAAACTTCACTGTCTTTTAAATAAAACATTTTTATTGATTACAGATGTTGTTATTAATCATAGATAACTTCTACAGGGTTAATTAATCGTCAGTCTCAGTCTTCTATTTGTCATATCAGTTCTTATCCATTCTTCACTCTAATCACACCTCAGATCTCCCAAATACCACACTCTATCTCTCCACTCTCTCTGACTCACTGACTCTGACTGACTGACTCTCTCTGCCTCCACCTCTTTATTACATATCTCTCGGCTCCGCCTCTTATCAACATTAGCCTGCAACATGAATATTCATGACTACTTAACATAATAAGGGTGAATGCTACAGTGACCACTGTGGAGAGGGAGGTCAAGTATTGGGGTAGATATGAGAGAGACCTTTCAGAAAATGTTTCATTGTTGAATGTTTGAAGAAGTTTGCTGCTGGAGAATTTGGAGGTTGGTATGATATTATTGCTGAAAGTAGACTCTCAAGGATGAGATGGAGAGGCCCTTGGATTTGAGATGTAGGAAGAAGTGGAGAACAGTGGAAAGTGATGGATTAATGGAGGATGATGAGGAAAATTTGGTAAAGGATTGAAATTTCTTCCATTTGTACATGTAGGCTTTCCTTGTGGATGGTTTTTTGGCATGATGAAGAATGTTCATTAATGTGGGAGAATCCTCCACACTGCCAGGTGCAGAACAGGTAAGTCCAGGTGTAGGACTTGAAAGTTGTTCTGTGTGAGAAGGTGTGGCAGGCGGGGGAGATGGGGGATGTCTGATGAGAGACTGCGAATAACTAGGAACCAGGGCTGTCTTGGCCACCAAGGGGCTATAACGATGACATGGGTTTTGTTTTGTTGTGGAGGAGAAGGAATGGCGGAAAAGGTAGGTAAGAATCTTTGGCCAAGAGCCGACAAACACGTCTCCCTGGGAATGTTTTCCTATTCCTGCTCGGGAGCAATACAGCTGGCATTTCCGATTCGCTCGGGAGGCAAAGAGATCGAGAGTTGGTGTGCCCCATTTCTGGCATAGTTGGTGGAATAATGATTGATCTAGTTCCCACTGGTGAGCTCGGGCATCTGTACAGCTGAGGGAGACTGCTAGGTCATTCAATGGGATTCAATAAAGGTGGACACGTTGTCCCAGAGGAAGAGTTGGTAAGCTCCCATGGCTCCTTGATAATTCGTGACTCGCATGGTGAAGGCTGTGGAAGAGTAAAGCCATCTACCCATGGAGTCTCTTCGTCGGCTGTCTTTATTTGGTATGAGAGATTGTTGGTGTCAAGATGTTGATTCAGAGGCTTTGACAAATATAGAATTTGGAGCTGGTTGTTTTTGGAGAAAAATGGCTCCTGAGTCATGGATTCTATAGAGGTTATCAATCTGCTTAGACATGGTATGGGAGGAAGCTGGTTTTATCCAGGATCTCTGCGCAGTACTAAGGAGAGATGGTAACATCGATACGTGCACCGGAGTGGTTGTATTTTTAGGCATCGGATCATATACAGTAGATGATTGGCTGGTTCTGTCGATGGTTGGTAGACTTGCAGATCAAGGGATTTAGCCATGCGAGTCATAAGTTGGGGATAGGTCTGAAAATCCTCTGCTGGTGACGGCGGGTTGGTATCAACAGTGTCTGACTCAGGAGAGGTAAGTAACACCAATGAAGTCTGTGGCCGAGATCCATGGTCAGAGCCAACAAGGTCACATCTAGAGTCGACGGACTGTCGATTGACTACAGTGTCGAGAGGCGGAGTCTTGTAGTATTGCCAGTTATGAATTGGAAAAGATGGAGGCAGCATGTCCATGGACATCTGTTGATGTTGAGGATCATCAACATCGAAAGATGGTGGTTGAGCGTTGACAGACCTCGATTGATAGAGATGGACCTTGGTGTCGAGCTCAGTGTCGTAACGGTGCCAGGGCTGATGACTTGGGTTTACCTTGGATGACTTGGAGGAAGGGAATTGTGTTGATGTAATGGAATGGAGTGAGTGTCCATAGACCAGGATGAATATCGAGGATCATTGATATCAGAGCCTGTGTCTTTGTGATGTCAAAACAGGTTGCTGATGTGATGGCATAGCAGCAGAATAAACTGAAGCTGGCGATGCCAAGCATGAAGAGTGATTTCTGTCATCTTTTGTAGTAGGAAAGTATCGGGAGACTGGGGTTGCAAAAGCCTCACGTGTGGATGAAATCTGCTCGACCGTCCGAGGTTTTTTTGATACCAAGTGGGGAGCAGGTTGAGGTACGTAGTCGCCTCTCGGTGATGTGGGCGCTTCAACACCAATGGTTGTCGAGAGGTAGGCCAACTATTAGATTTTATTATCGAACCAGGTAAAACACCTGGTCAACTAGCTGGTGCAGTTTGTCAAGCAGAGCACTGGTCGGGACAAATGGCAACCCGATGCGCATGCTATGCGTGGGTTTGAATCACACGCAATGAAGCGAGCTGTCAAGATTGTTGATGTCGACAGTCCTGGTTAGGGATCAGTGGACGATCCGAGGGCATCAAATATGGAACGGTGTTGAGCCGTTTGGGATGGGAATTCTAGGGTGATGGAATAACCAAAGGATTACTGGAAGGAATGGAAGGTTGTGGACTGGGAGGAGAGGATGTTAGTTGATTGACTGTATCATCCCATTCTGGAGACTGAGAACAAGGTTGATGAGATGGAAGTCTGTCATCATCTGAGGGAGATCAGACCAAAATTGATTCAGAGAGTTGTAGTAGTGGTGGAATATCTGTAGGCTTAGACTGTTTAGCTCATTTAGGGAGAACAGGCTCTGGAGCTGGAGCAGTATCAGTAGGTCTCTGATGTTTAGAAGTTGTTTTCAAAATCGAGGTCTTCGGTATGGAGGGTTTTGATTTCTGTGTCTTCGAGGTCTTAGATGATGCAGATGGAGAATTGGAATGAGCTGGTGTAGCCGATGGATGTTGTTTTGATGATTCAGTAATAGCTTTTTCCATTGGTTTTGTTTGGGAAGTGGCCCTACAGGGAGGTTGGGCTATTTGAACTGGTTGTAAGGATCAACTGTGGGTCCTAATGGCAATTTTAATTGTATTTTAATCATTTTTTATTGAATTTTAATTGAATTTTAACTGTTGTAAGCCGCCCAGAGACCTTTGGGTAAAGTGGGTGGCATATAAGTTAAATAAATAAAAAAATGAATAAATAAATTGTTCCCAAAGTCAGAATTTTAGCCTTGAGAGGCGAGATCAAAATTTTTGCAATGGGTACAGGAGGAGGTTTGATGTTGTTCTCCCAAACAGAAAAGGCAATTAGTGTGTCTGTCGGAAAGTGGGATCTTATTATCACAGACAATGCAGTGCTTAAATGGGCCCAAAGAGGTCATATATAGGAGAAAATAATTGAGGAGAAAAATCAATGATTGGAGGGGGGTGCTGCGGCCGGAGACTAAGCATGGGGAAAGGAAAAATCTCTGATGATAAAGAGTTTGATCTAATAATTTAAAAGAAAAAGATTGATAGCAGAAAGGAATCAAGAGTAAGCTCTCTTTCTCTTTTACTCACAGTAGCAGAATTATGAGGCTCTTAACACGGCGGTTGAAAGAAACTGAAAGGGAATGCTTGGCGCCAAGGTACTTATATGGATGGGGAGGGGCATATTTTAATGTATTCATTTCTACTGCAGAAGCTCTATGAGGCTTCGCGCAGGTGCGAATCACCCAGGGTGTGACTCACAGAGGTCACGAAGAAGAAACCCGCTTCCTCCTCCCCATGCTGTTCAAAAGGGAAAAGAAACAATAGAGAAAATTAACTGATACAAAATTAAAAGCAGTGTAGCCTGCTATAACATTTCAACTAGAAGGAAATTAATATATGGTAGTTAAAAACAATGTAAACACTACTGCTGATATACAGTGGTGCCCCGCATAGCGATGATAATCCATTCCGGATAAATCGTCGCTATCCAGAAACATCGCTATGCGGGGGGAAAAACCCATAGGAACGCATAAAACTCTGATTAATGCGTTCCTATGGGGGATAAACTCACCACTAAGCAGGAATCCTCCATAGGGCCGCCATTTTCGACGCCTCGGTAAGCGAGGGCAGGGTGCGAAAACGGAGCGGGTGGCCATTTTTTCTTCCAGTGGCCATTTTGGAACCGCCGATCAGCTGTTATTAGAACATAGCAATGCGAAGATCGGTAAGCGAAATGCTTACCGATCATCGCAATGCGAGTTTTTGCCTATGTAAACATCACAATGCGATCGATTTTGCGATCGTAAAAGCGTCATCGCTATGCGGATTCATCGTTAAACGGTGCACTCGCTATGCGAGGCACCACTGTATATCTGACATGACCGCAGGGGAAAAATGTATCTGTACAACAGGAATGAAATGAATCAGTATAACTTTGTTTCTTTTCTCATGTGTAATCAGGCTCCCAGACATAACATAGAAGTTACCAACATTAATGTGGATGCCTTAAAAAACAAGAGAAACAGTATTAACGACAGATTTTAACTATCCTAAAACATTGGTGTGTTTATTGTATCATTAAAATATCATAAACAGGAAGGCTTTCAAGAAATGTAGGATTCTTCTTCAAACTGAGCTTTTAAAAGTTTAGGCCAGGGGAGAGAAAAAAATAAAATCTAAAGGTCGTCCTGGCTAGATGTTGAGGATCCACGACTTATAGTTAAGGGCCTAAAATGGAGACTGTAACTTTGATATCAGATACTAGATTTCCCTTCAAGAAATATTGAACCAATTGTCTTTCCCCAGTTCTGGATGAATCCTATGTTACCTTTAATCAAACCACATGGCTTGGCTTTTCCATGAGCCAAAGCAGAATCCACATCCTCTGATAAAAGTGAATGGAGGATATCCTCAGTGACTCTGTGACTGGCATTTCTTTGTCTGTAAAACTGGTGATAATCAATTGCTTCTACCATCCCTGAAGTGAGTGAAATGAATGAATCACAGTTCTGTACCGGCAGCCAAAGGGTGAATCCTAGCAGCAATACCACATGGGGGCCTGTTGGTGACAGGCAGCCAGACAAAAGGCATCAGCTTAGATTGAACTATGCTTTGGTATATCAACCGTGGCAGACATCTAAATATGCTTGGTGCCAATGCAGAGCTGAACAGATAAGCCAGTTGCATGGTAGTAAAATGGAGGTCTCTTGTCTGATCCGAGAGACCATGGAGTAGACTGTCTAAATTCTTGGTGTGAACCATACTTTCAGACCCATAATACCCAAGAGAGAAGGAGCAGGTGGTTTATAAGACATCTGTGGATATCACAAATATTCGAGCTTATTTATCACTTGATTTTAGGTTTTTCGGGCTGTTTTGCCGTGTTCTCTGTGGCCAGCATCTTCAGAGGAGTTAGAACAGACAGTTTTAACTCCTGTCCTCTGAAGATGCTGGCCACAGAGACTGGTGAAATGTTAGGAAGAAAAACCTCCAGAACATGGCCAAACAGCCTGAAAAACCTACAACAACCATTGGATCCCGGCTGTGAAAGCCCTCGAGAATTATTTCTCATTCCTTAATTTATGTGTTTTCAGATATCAGCAGTTTTCTTTTATAAAACTGAGAGTTGTATCAAGACTTCTTTATTTTTAAATTGTTAGCCACAATAATGGGTACATTTAAAATGAAAACTTGCTTCTCTCCAAGAAGCTTGTACTATCACTTGAGTGAACATGTCTTTTCAAATATACCAGTGGTTCCCAGCTCAAGCAAATCTATGTTATCTCATCTAAAATTCTAAAATTTAACTAACAGATTCACTAGGAATTTCACAATATTGACCTGCATGTAGTAAACATATATATGAACAACAGAAGCCAGGATGGTTTAGCACTTGTTTATAATACAGAATGAAGTGTTTTACATCCTCCAACAGAAATTTAACTGGGATCGTTAGTTAATTAACACCTCACCTTAAAATTGGTCTCGGCATGCATATTAGGTGCTGATAATTCTTGATAGATGATGAAGAGATGCTGAGCAAAGGTCATGAGGACCCCCTGGAGATGTTCTCCAATTGTTCTGTTAATGATATCCAAACAAATGACTTTGCCAATGATTCCATTCGCATGCTTTAAAACAATCACCCTCTCATTTGGGCCTGTCAGACTGTGGAGTTTAATGAGTATTTTCAATCTCGTAAGGTGGCAATCTTCTGGGAGATGTGAAAGATGAGGCTCCATTTTAACTTGTCAGTAGAAAGGATTTGTGTAATAAATAATAATTATTAATAAAGCAATGGAGGAGAGTGAGATGTTTAGCCATGCCAAGCAAAAGACCTCTGCCTTTTCAAAATCACTCTGAGCTTCAAATATGGGATCTAGTATGACTGGTGCTAGGAAATTCTACTGCACTGCTAATCAACATGGAACCATTTGAAGTGGGGTTTGGCGAGAAAACAAGAACACTTTTACAAGTAATTCCATGATCTATTGATATTTCTGATCAAATTCTCCTTATACAGTCGTGCCCCCCTTAACAATTACCACCGTATAACGACGAATCTGTTTCATGACGATGTTTTAAATGGGTTTTTTTTCGCTTTGCGAAGATCGGTTCCCTCCTTCAGGAGCCGATTCTTTGCATTACAATGATCAAAACAGGTGATTGTCGGGTTTTCAAAATGGCTGCCGGGTGCTCAAAATGGCTCCGCGCTGGGTTTTTGGATGGACTCCTCGCTCTACAGGCACCAAAGATGGCCGCCCCTATGGAGGATCTTCGCTGGATGGTGAGTTTCTCAGCCCACTGGAATGCATTGAACAGTTTTCAGTGCATTTCAATGGGCTTTTTTATTTCGCTTTACGACATTTTCACTCTAAAGCGATTTCGCTGGAACAAATTAACGTCGTTAAGCGAGGCACCACTGTATTTTTCCCCAACTGTAAGGAAGAGCCCTTTTTTGGATACACACTTCAATGTGGTGATGGAGTTTGAGTGTGTCAGAGAGGCCAAGAGCAATGTCATCAAGAGGCTAGACAGCAGCAACAACAGCAACAACAGCAGCAGCAGCAGCAGCAGCAGCAGCAGCAGCAGCAGCAACAACAACAACAACAACAACAACAACAACAACAACAACAACAACAACAACGGAAGAGTAATGTCAGTATGTGACAAGGAGGAGGAGTGTTAAAATACTGAATCTTCAAGATAATTTCAGTCCTGTAACTCTCCTGCAAACTTACAACATTCCAAATCTGTATCTTTTCTGGTCTTCAAACAATGTAAAAATGGTTCCTTCTTTCACCTGTCAAGGATGAAAAACAATGTTAGCATCTATATAGTGGCTAAAAGTTTTTTTTTAAGTTTACAAAATATAATGTTAGGCCATATTATTTGGGGAAGCTCAGAATTAAGAGGAGTAAATTTATTTTCAGTCTGGACATGAAATATTTTCACTTCCACACTTATAGAAAAAATAGGCTGGCAGCAATCTAAAAAGACAAGTGCCAAGGTTGAAGATGGCCTGGAAACCATGATCACCAAACAAATCCTTTCCTTTAAACCTACATGCAGATAAGTCATATGTGGTTACTTTGTAGCATGGTAGCTGTTCTTATAAGCAGTATGTATATGTTTTAAACCTTAAGTCTGAAAACAGGTTTTCAGGATCTGACATGGTCACACATGATGGAATCATAAAGTCTGGCAGCATCAAGAATGATAACTACAAATCTGGAGCCACTAACCTCCCTGTGGTCACTCCAAAAGGATCTGTGCATTGTTCTGCTTCTCAAGCTACTTTATTTTGCAACTTATCATACATTTTAAAACCATTTTATAATGTTGTTTATAACATTTCAGTTATATTTTATGGGTACAGCCTTTCTGTGTGAATGTGTGAATCATCCAGACTTCATCTCTTGGGCAGTTTAGCTATATAACACTGTTTTTTTTTTAAAGAAGTTGTTTATTTGGGAAAGTATGGGGTGTTATCCGTTTATTAATCCCAACTAAACAAATTTCTGTTCCCAGAATCACTGATTCACTGAATCAATGTGGCTGGCACAAGTATTATTTTCTTAACAAATCCCATTCATTTGTTTGGTTATTATAGATAGAATTAATAATTAGATATAATTATTTTTAAAAACCAGCTAAAAACACTGATGTTTCGGCAGGCCTTCCCTTCAGCCAATTCCTGACTTTTCCTCTTCTACCTTTTTCTAATGTCTGTCCCATTTGTCCTAAGTTTTCCCTTTATTGAAGACTGTTTTTATTTACATTGTCATATTATTGTTGTAAGCCGCCTAGAGTGGTCTTAATCAACTAGATAGGCGGGATATAAATAAAAAAATAAATAAATATAAAAGTGTTCACAGATACACAATCTCATGGCAGTGTTATATATAAAGATAACTTTAAGGTATCATAACAATAAACCCAGCAAATTAGAATCCCCCCTCCCCACTAAACTTTATTTAGACTGTGCATTTAATTTACTTGTAATCACTAAATGGCTGGGCAGGCATGTTTTACTTTAGCACAAGGAAGACTTGTGTGACACAGTGTGACACCAATCTTATCTTCACCATACTGTCTCCTAAAATTATAATGAATTTCAAATTTGAAAAACCACAAAGGAGAAGGCTCTTTGTGTGTGTTCTATTCTCTGTAAAGACAAAGTGTCTTCTCAAAAGATCTCTCTTTCTTTCCAAGCTAATTTCCCATCTTTATATTACTTGCACGTAAAGCAAACAATCTTCTCACCTGGACATCATATCCAATGCCATGAGCCTTGCACATCTGAAGGAAGACGTTATAGTAGATGAGGGAAAGATTAGCATGCATAATTGAACTGCTCATAACAACATGGCGTTTAACTAGGGGACCCTGGGGGAAAAAACAAAAGCAAGAAAAGAAGTTACTTTTCTGAGGCACTGAGAAATTCTTGCTTAAACATTTTCACTAAGTAACTAGATCTTAGGAATGCTACGTTGTTTGATTACTCTTCAGCTAGTTTTTACCCATTTGAGCAAAAATATTAGTGTTCAATAAATAATTTAACTGAACACACCTTCAACCAGTCTATGTTTAGCTGTAGTGAGTATGAACAAGGAGATGAATGGTATGTCTCTGAAAACATTTCTCTTGAGCTCCTATGTAACATAGCACAATAAGGTTGTTTTGTTTGTTATGTCTGTGCTTTCATCCAATTGCAGTGCAAAGTAGGGGGACATGCAAATTCTTTCTGATAATTGTTCCTTCATATTGACTGACAAGCTGCCAATTCACTTCTTAATTGTGTCATTTGACAAAGGTATTAAGGAAAGGTCCTTGGCAGCTTTTTTGTTGATTGTGAGTTATTGGTCCCATAAATGAGATCAAAAACCACGAAACAGGAAAATCCAGGCCCCATTCACTCCCATTCGAAATTAAACTGCTTGAGTCAACACAGTTCGAAAGGTCCTTGGCAGCTTTTTTGTTGATTAATGCAGAAACTATACTTTTTGCACAGGTAATGAAAGTTCTTCAGCTACTGTGTGTGGTTTTCCAGTTTTTGCTTTTAGTTGTGAAATTTCAAATGAGTCCCTCACTGCATTTTCATTGTTATAATCAGTAGCAGTATTGTAAAACCATTTTTTTTACTTTCCTGAAGCCCATGCTCCTTATTTTTGAAAAAAAATGATGTTCTTTCTTTCTTTCTTTCTTTCTTTCTTTCTTTCTTTCTTTCTTTCTTTCTTTCTTTCTTTCTTTCTTTCTTTCTTTGATTTATATCCCGCACATCGGGCTGGTCGACCACTGATGTTTAGTATCAAGATGTTTTTGCAGTTTTGATGGTTTCATAGCCATGTTGGACAATATCTCATAACACAACATACACTGTGGTAGTTCCATGTCTTTGGGACCTGTATATGTGAAGCCAATTGACAAATATGCCCTGCTATAATGACAACACTTTTTACGATGACTGGAAGAAGCTTCATTTTGTTTTGAACAGGATGCATCCTCATCAACATCATCAGTTCTTTTACACTTCAGATTCAGCCAGCGATCCATTTTGAGGCTCATCTAAATGTATTACTATGAAATTCTCTGTGATAATATTGAAAAGTCACTTCACCTGACAATAACCAAATGGTTTTATTAGCAGAAATCAAAGAAACACAATCATGAAGTCCGTCTGAAGACTTATTCGCACTGACACTGACTGACTCCGACTCTCACTTCCAGCTGCTTCTGGCTGTCTGTGCAGTAGCAAGAAACATCACGTGTTGTCTTTCAGCCACTCAGCATCATTACTTTGCATAATCTCACCATGTGCGGAAATATAAAACAGTTCTTTGTTATCAAAGAACTATTTCCATAACCAATGTTTACTTTTGTTTTTAACAGAGGCAGTAGGTTAGAAAAGTCATGTTTTACACAAACAAAAGGAAATTAAGATTTTGGTCTACATTCCAATTTCTTTTTGTTTTCTTTCTTTCTTTCATCCATCCATTCTTTCTTTCTATTTGAACTGCAAAAGATCGTAACATTCTTCAAGCCTTCACAGACCTCTTGTGAGAAAATCACAGCCCCCCCAGGGGTCCACAGACAACAAGTTAATAACATATAATGAACAGCATTCTCATTGTTTACCAGGTAGGTTATCTTTTTTTTTTAAAAGATAAGATTAGACTGGCAGGATTTGTTCTTGACAAATCTGTGTTGGCTTCTGGTTGTCACTGCATTGCGTTCAAGGTGCTTGCAGAATGAGTGCTGAATCTGACCCCAAAATTTCGCCTGTGATTGATTTCAGGCTGACTGCTTTGTAATTCCCAAGTTCCTCCTTTTTGAAATTAGGGACAACATTAATCCTATTCTATCATGCAACACTTTATTTATCCTCCATGATTTCAAGAAAATAATAAAACAATGGTTCTCTTAGTTCGTCAGCCATTTCCTTCAATATTCTTGGATAAAAAAAAATTAAAACCTGGAGAGCTGAACTTGTTCAAAGTAATGAGATATTTATTGGCTATTTGTTCATCAGTCTCAAGCGGCAATCTTGTCTCTTCCACTTGTACTTCACATTTGCCAGAAGGACCATAGACTGTATTTTGGGTGAAAACCAAGTTAAAGTAGGAATTGAGAACTTCTGCTTTTTCTTTGTCATCTGTTATCATTTTGCTACCCCCAAAGGGTAAGCTGAGCCACTATTTTTTTCCTGTCTTTTACGATGCATGAACCTGGAGAATGCTTTTTTGTTGCTGCTTTTAGTGTCTCTTGCTAACCTCAGCTCATTCTCAGATTTTGCCTTCCTAGTACATCCCTGAAATTCTTTGCTACTTGTCTGTACTCCTCCTTTGTAGCCTTCCTTCTACTTCTTAAAGAATCCTTTTTGTTTCCAGTTCCTCTCTAAACTTTTTGTGAAGCCACATTAGTCTTTTTTGCTGTCTTCCACCTTTTTTTTATTAGAATAATAGAATAATGGAGTTGGAATATGACCTCTTGCCCCAATTCTTGATGGAAGCTTAGAATATCCTTTTCTAGAAACTCCCACCCATCTTGGACTTCTTTTCTTGTTAGGATCTCCTGCCGTAGGACATTACTTATCATCGTTCTGTGTTTATTAAAATAGGCTCTCCTAAAATTCAGTGTACATGTGCAGCTACATTCTGTCTTTATATCTTTTGAAATTATATTATTTTTATTATGATTATTAAATAAATACTTTCCACATGATTTTGTTTTTATCTAGGGCTTCTTCTGATGGGATTGGAACTTCTTAAAGTGGTGCTTTTGAACAATTTTTTCTTTTATTTTTTACATATATGTTTCATTATCATGATCTTCAAGTGTTTTCCCCTAACACTGTGATACTAGGAAGAACCGAAAGCAAAATGTTCAAATCAGTGCAGAATTTCAGACAAATATTATATTTTCTCATCTTATTCTCTAGCAAAGCTAGAGTGATTCAGCTACTCTTGTTTGATATTAGTCGAGTGCCAAGTTATTTTTGGAGAAGCCCATCAAACAACTGAAGTACAAGAGGATATACACAAGGTCTTTGAAGGGCATAAAGAAAGCATCATTAGAAGCTTGGTAGAACTTAGATCAGAATGGATTTTTAAAGGGTAGACAAATGGGGGATTTAATGAGAAGGGTATTAAATGTAATCAATACAACTAAAGAGACAAAGGCAAAAGCAGGGATGCTATCACTGGATATTTTCAAGACCTTTGACTTGGTGGAATGGTCAGCGGATGCTATCACTGGATATTTTCAAGACCTTGACTTGGTGGAATGGTCATCGTTGAAAATATTAATAAAAGAATTAGGTTTTGGTACACATTTTAGAAATATTATTCAGCAACTTTATTCAGAGAACACTGGCACAGTTTTAGTAAATGATGGTATGACAGAAACAACTATATTAGTCTGGGAACAAGAAAAGGATGCTCCCTATCGCCAATACTATTTACCTTGATAATAAAATTATTAGCAAATACAATTAGAGAAGATACCAAAATAAAAGGATTAGGGAATAAAGATAAAATTAAGTTAAACTTATTTGCAGATGGCACATTACTAACAATTGAAGATCCAATGAATTCTATAGAAAAGATTAAATGGCATTTACAAGTCTTTGAAGAAGTAACGGGACTAAGGGTAAACTGGAGTAAATCAGAACTTATGTTAGCAAATTATGATAATGAAGAAAGGAGTAAATTGGAAGATAAATTTGAAGGCAAGTTAAAAATAATATTAGACAGGGATAAATATTACTTGGAACTTGCAAGAAATTGTTAAAATGGATTTGGAAAAAGTGGAAAAAAACAAATTAAAGAACAAATTAAAGAACAGCAAAAGTTAAAGTTATCTTATTTAGGAAAAAATTCAGTAGTAAAAATGAAGATAATTCTGAAATTACATTTTGTATTTTGAACGTTACCTATAAAGATAGCTGATAAGGAATTAAAAGAACTGCAGAATGTGATTAATATGTACTGTAATGAAAATAAAAGAACAAGGAAAAATTAAAAATATGGTATCTTCCTCAAAAGAACGGAGGTTTGGGTATACCTGATATTAAATTATATTATATAGCTAATCAATTAAGATATATACCAGAAATTATAGTAAACAGTAAGGGGATAATATGGAATGATTTTAAGTTTTATAAGATTAAGGAAAATATGGAGGATTTGTTTTTTAAGGAAAATTTAAAGGATATTATTATAAACACAGATAACCCATTTTTAAATAATATATTGCAATGTTGAAAGAAGTATTAGAGAATATTGAGTCCAAAGATTTCCTCATTGAAACACATGGTGGAATTATAGTTTTCAGATAACCTGAAGAAAAAATTAAATAAGGTTTTGTTAGAACAGAAAGTTATAAAAATTAAAGACTGGAATAAGAAGAGGTATAATGTAGAGAGAATAAAAGAGATACTAGGAGGAGAAGGAATTACTTGATTAAAAGTAAGATGGATAATTGGACCAAGGAATGGGGGAGTGGGGAAGAGAATGTACGTGGATGACTAAATTTCAAGAAATTATTGAAAACAGGGAAGAGGTGGATGATAATATTCAAAGAAAAGGGATAATAAGTGTAATATATAAGATGTTAGTAGAAGATGAACATAAAACAATAGCTTTGAAAGAGATATGGCAAGAAGATTAAAATACAGTGGTGCCTTGCTTGACGAGGATAATTCGTTCTGTTCAAATCGCTGTTAAGCGAAATCCTCGTCAAGCGAAATTTTAAAACCCATTGAAATGCATTGAAAAGCGGTTCAATGCGTTCAAATGGGTGAAATACCTGCTCGTTTTGCAAAGATCCTCCATAGGGCACCCGTTTTCCGGTGCCTGTAAAGCAAGGAATCTGTCCTAAAGCACAGCGGGGAACCATTTTGCACAGCGGCTGGTGATTTTAGCGCTGCCGATCAGCTGTTTTAAAATCATCGTCTAGCGAAAAATCAGTTCCCAAAGCAGGGAACCGATTATCGTTAAGGGAATTTTCCCCATAAGAACATTGTTTTTGCGATTGCAACAGTGATCACAAAAACTTCATTGTAAAGCAGTTTCGTTGTTTAACGAGGTAATCATTAAGCGAGGCACCAATGTACAGAAATTAGTGACGAAGTATGGAAGAGGATCTGGAGAAAAAATAATGAAAAATATGTGAGTTAGGCTAAAGGAAAAGTGTTATAAGGTAAAATGGTATTTTACTTCATAACACCAATGGGTATTTAGCACCAATGAAACTGAATAAAGCATTATATCTATATGTTGGAGATGTAAAAAAAAGAAAAGAAAGGGGAACATACTATCCTATGTGGTAGGCATGTGAAGAGAGACAGAAGGAATGGATGATTATATTGAATGAAATTAAAGAAATTATACAGACAGATATACAAAGACATCCAATGTTAACATTTTTAAATATATTTGGAAACAGTCAATTAGATGGGAGGAAATTGAACTAATTGTTATTATGTTAACAGCAGCTAAAGTGATATTTGCAAGGTATTGGAAATATAATAATCAATTGGTATTGGAACAATTAACTTGTGAATTGAGAGTTAGAAAAGGATTATTGAAAGAAAATAGCTTTAATGGGATCTGGAATCCTTATATAGAATACGTGTTTACAAAACATAAGGGTTACACCCCAACACAAGAATCATCATATTTTTGGAAAGAGACAGAGTACACAATATAAATTGAAATGAAACATATTGATGAGAATATTTAGATAAATTTATTGTCCTGATGGTGGAGGGTTACACTGTATATCTGATTTACGATTCTGTGTGTCAGTTATGTTTTTGTTGTATTGGAAAAAAAATTAAAAATAAGTTTGGTAGAGTTTGAATGTTTTTTTCTCAGTGTCCTAACTGTGACTTATTGCTGAATGGAAGCTGCAGAAGCAGCAGCTATTATGGCCAAGCAGAAACCTTGGAAATAGCTCTCTGTCTGTCTGTCTGTCTGTCTGTCTGTCTGTCTGTCTGTGTGTGTGTGTGTGTGTGTGTGTGTGTGTTGTGCTCGTTGCATGTCAGTCGTGCAACCAGGAATGCGACAGGAACCTTGGAAATAGCTCTGTGTATGTCTCTCTCTGTGTGTGTGTGTGTGTGTGTGTGTGTGTTGTGCTCGTTGGACAAGCCTAGTCACATCCCAAATCCCCTCTTCTTCTGAGCTATTAAGTGCTGCATGCTGCTGGTGGTGGTCAGAGTGACACCCATAACAAAGTTCTGCCTGCCACCAGGCCAAACCTAATTCACTCACACCTAAAGACATGTCCTCCTGCCATAGATCATATTGTTACTGCGTGTGCATACTTTGCCCACACATAGAGTATTATAAGGAAACAGCCGCATGTAGGACCCATAGTTTGGCAGGGTGCCTACCTTGAGGCATATTGAGCAAAGCGGGCAATCCACGCTTGCTTTTAAATAGTCAGAGAACTAAGCGTATGGCATTGTCAAATCAGGTGTCCAAAGCTTTCAACATTTTGTTTTTGGCAACAGAGGGCTGCAAGTAAAATAAATTAATGCTTGATAAAATAATCCTAGTAGCAGTTTAACAAGCGTAAACTTGAATGCAGCAGTAATAACACAGAACTATTGTTCAAGCGGAGGCATCAGTTTGATGAGGTGCTTATTTCAGCTACAAAGCAGGCAAACACATGCATAATGAACTGCCGGATGAATTATTAATGTCTTGCTTATTTAGCCTCATCTGTCTCTAAGATAATGTATCCTAAGTATAATGAGTGATTGGTTTTGTACATAATTACAGTAGCAGCAGTATCTAGGAAATTTGCTCTTGCAAAGGAGATTTCTAAAAATAAAAATCATCATTCGTGCTCAGTCATAGCTCCATTTTATCAAAATCAAAGCCAGCAGCCTAGTGAATGTGTAATAAATTCGCAGGGACAGAAGCATTATTAACATCATAATTTCACATAAAGTGTTTTTACTTAATCATTCATTACAGACCATGTGCTCTGAAAAGATTTGTCTCCTGTATATTTCTTTGGCTTCTTTAAAAGATAACTCTGACATGCTGGTGCTCTTTTCGTTGCCACTGGCATTTATAGAGATGGAGACTAAAACCAGTAACATTGGTGGTGGATTATAAACTTGGAATGACAATTTTGTGTTAATCTTGAAAGAATTTTAATTAAGAAGTTGCTACTTGATTACTTTTTATTTCTACATCATGTACTTCTGGGAGTACCTTATTTACTCTTCTTCAATTCAAAGGAGTGGATTGATAAGAATAGACCAGAAGCTCACTGCGATCAGGCCTAGGACTCCCAGACAGAGCTTCACCACAGAGGTTATTTTTTTGGTCCAACACATATATAGCCATTCCGGGCAGTTAACAAAGATAACTTGCTTTCAATGGGCACCAGGGAGTCTAATGTTCCCTGGACAAACATGTGCTCTTAGTGAGAGTCGCCAGCAGGGATTGGGGTACACGCCCCCTCTAGAGTTTCTAGTAGTCCCGCAAATAAGTGAGGCAGGGAGTTCCACGACACAAGCCTGCACTACCCCTTGCAACCAGGTAGCCTGCAGCCTTTTCCCAGTTACACCAGGGGAAACCTCATCTCGTGCGGCATAACCAGGCTGCTGCCACCTCTCCTGGGTTGTCCATCTAAAGCCCACCTTAGTTTGTGCAGACTCTGAAAAGCAGCACACGGTGGAAGGAGCATGTGGAGGGGAGGATGTCGTGGGTAGACACACAGAGACCTCTGGCCACCCTTACTGATCGGGACAGCGGATCCTGGTCATCTCTGCTGGTCGATAGCCTCAGTGGCACCTTGCCCAGCGCTTCTCCGGGCGCCTGATCTCATCCCACCGCACTCAAACTACCTCATCCAGGGAAACCAGGAACGACTTTCACCATCCTGTGTCACAATCCTGACAAATCCTCTCCCACCCTTCTGGGGAGAGAGTTTGGGGCACTGTTTTCTCCGGTGCTGCCAGGGCTTCCCAATGTTGTGCATCTTCATAGGTCTCACTCTCCTCCTGGTCGTCCTTAAATTCTCAAGCCTCCAGACTTAGCTGGGGCACCTCCAAAGCCTCACCTCAGTCTACAGGTGTGCTACCTGTGGGAAAGTGAGGGCCTGCTCTCAAGGAGATAGAACAGCCACTTTTCCTAGTGAGGGGGCCAGGGTTGGGCTCACATCATTAACCTCTAAGTTGCAAAGCTGACATTTTTAATGGACAGGAGGAAGCTTCTGGAACATTTATATAAAAGGGAGTTGTTTTGCATGCAGTAGAAGCTGTTTTTCAAAGATCTGTTGATTAATTTTTCTGAAAATCTTTTGGGATTAATGACATGAGAAAAGCAGTAGAATTTAAGAAAAGAATGGTCACTTTTCTGAAACTCATGCCTCAAGGCCTCAAAAGCAAGCAGGCTTCAGAAGCAACATAAACGATTCCAACAAATCACACGAGTAGGATTACTCTGCATTTGGGTTTAGACAGCTAAAACACTCATGTGCTGAAGCACATATCAAGATGGTGACTCACTTCTAAATATTTCTCGCAGAGGGTTGTTGTGATCAAAGAGAGGAAGGTGATCCCAAATTTGGTGGTAGGATACATCCCCCGCTCTGGTTATAAGCGCTTATATTTCTAGCCCTAGATGTTTGTATATTCAGAACAGTGCCAACAGGTTTGTAACAAAATACTATTCAAAATAATGACTTTGGAATCAAAATATATATTTGAAACTGTATGGGGCATTTCCAGGGTCAGCCCAAGTCATTCTGAAAAACCTTTTGGTGCTGTGCAGATGAGTTGTTCATGATGTTACATTCCTGTGATTTGTTTTGGTGTCCTCATCCACTGACACCCTAGGGCTCTTGCATCTTGGAGATGCAGCACTTGATAACAGTGGTTGCTCCAAACATAGTAATCCTTGGGTTTGCTCAGGATACCAGTGCAACAGCTAGTAGAGCTGCTGACACTGCCCCAGCTCCTGCAATTATTTGCCAGCCCACTAGCTCTTAGGATGGAGTTGTTTGGTCAATAATCATAAGATGACATAACTTACAGCTTGGAGTTGTTCTTTCTGCGGACGGGAGGCTTTTGGTTTTCTTGGAATGAGTTGCACTTGGAAGCAGCTTAGCCTGCAGTCTAGTGTCCCATTAGTTACATAAAGCAAGACCTGTGTCAAAGCCAGATGATCACTATAGTGCAAGTCCAGGTCTAGCGCCCACACCTGAAAAAGGAAGTATTTATGGAAGTAATCAGGTAAAGGAAGAGGCATTTTCTGTCTGTCTAATGTTGTGGCACAGTATCTCCTCTAGGCTGAGAAGCAGATGTTAATGTCTTGAATATAAGATTTCATCCATTTGTATCAAAACAACACAATTGTTTGTAAACATGTCCCAATTAGTATTTATTGTCTCTGTCTACAACCTATAAAATTTGTTTCCTTAGTGTGTTACTTATAAATATAACCCTTAATTACTCAAAAGTCATTTGTAAATAGGCAATAAGTGAAATATGGATTCTTCATACTTAAAAACGCAATTATGTATAAGAACCACAGTCAGAATTTAGCCATGAAATACACAGACACAGGTGTGTGTGTGTGTGTGAACAATTAACAGGCCATGAAATACACAGACACAGGTGTGTGTATGAACATTTAACAGGTAATACCATGTTTTCCCAAAAATAAGACAGGGTCTTATATTAATTTCTGCTCCAAAAAAGCATTCGGGCTTATTTTCAGGGGGTATTTTATTTTTTTCATGTACAACCATCTACATTTATTCAGATACAATTGTGTCATCTTTTCCTGGTTGCTGCACAAGGGTGGAGGGTGGGGTTTCACTTCACTGGGGCTTATTTTGGGGTATGGCTTATATTACAAGCATCCTGAAAAATTATACTAGGGCTTATTTTCAGGTTAGGTCTTATTTTCGGGAAAACAGGATAGCTCTCACTGAAAGCTGTAGAATTATCACTAGATTATTCCTAGTGAAGCCACTCCCTATTGATAAACTCAATTACCTAGGAACTATTTCACCCAGTGATATATATCAAGAGGTAGCAGCTAAAAGACTGAAAGTGCCTACATCAAGTGCACCAGGCTATCATCCTGTCCTTCCCAGATTAAAATTAAAAATAAATTTCTTAAGAATATCCATGAATAAGAAACAGCAGAGAATGCCAGGACTATAATGTGGAAAGACAGAACAGCTAGGGAAGTCTAGCCGCCGGTCATGCGGAGAACTGGGTTTCTTGTAAGTTAGTTAGTAGGCCATGGATTGGAGTTGGCAGGACCAAGGTTAACTTTAAACAATGGGATTTTCACACCAACACAGTTCTTTGTGGGTATAGAGAAGAACTAGCATCTTCATACCTATGCTGATGTAGTCTATGTATCTATTAATTGTACTGTGGTACTTCTGACATGAACAAAGAAATAAACTAGAAGCTTAGGTGGCCTTAGATCCTAGGAGTGCCTTCTACCACCTTTAGCTGGTATATCAATTACACCTGTTACTGCACACAGGCAGATTGTCCACAGGTTACATTAGTACCATTAGCCATTAGTAGACTGGACTGTTGCACTGCATACTCTGTACATAAGCTGCTGGAAGTTGAAGCTTAACTAAAGTATAGGAGCTCTACTCTGGAAGAAGCATTTATCTGCCTGTTTTGTATGAACTGAACTGGTTTGGCATATTTGCCCACAGAGCAGCATAAGACCATGGTTGTAGTTCTTAATGTTTGTGTTTGTATGTCACAATTGTTGTAGACATTAAACAAAATAGGAGCCAGTACGCTACCCTGGTGCATATAATTCTTTTGAGTCCTCCCTCAGCTACACTGTGTAAAAATTAACAAAAATAGTCTGTTATTTTGCAAAATTATTTAGTTTAGTTAGTTAATCATCCTTGATTAGATTACATAATTTTTTCATAATACTTGATTATGTTATAGTTAGCCAAGAGAGCAACAAAAACGATGCACAGGATCTATCAGGATCTAGTTTAAAAGCCATCATCAATACGTTGCATTAAATGCAGGATTTGTGCTGTACAGTTTTTCTCAGGTCTGCACCAGCCTATTATAGGATGGGGAGTGGTTTCATTGAGTCAATTAGAAGGTTAAAATAATTATTTCCAAGTCTTTATAAAGGTGGTAGAAGGCACCTTTATAAAGTAGGGAGATCACCCTGAAGGGTTTTGGTTTTTTTGTTTTGGATCTGTGGCTTCTTTACCAGGTTTCAAGACAGCAATCACGTGTGACTTTCTCTAAATTTTTGGAATTCTGAGAGAGTCAAGGCAGTTATTGCAGAACCCAAGGAGCCACTTTTTGGTTGTTGTACCAAAATGTTTTATTTGTTCTGTGCTGCTATCACCCAGGCCTGCTGCCTTGCCATTTCTGCAGCTACAATTTTTTTTTCTAATTTACTTAAAATGAATGATCTTGTAAGGTCATTGGTCTCCAACTACTTGTTTTTTTCAAGTTTAAGTTCTGATTTCCTATGGTAATGTTCAGATCTGCTATTAATGAGGAGCTAATGGACTATTTTGATTTGCTGAACTGTTTGCATGAGTTGTGTTGTTGTTCAGGCACTTTAATAACATCTGATCTTTCGGCAATTTCTTGACATGTGCACTTCTTCCATAAGTTTTATACGGTAGTCACAGAAATGGGTAAAGGAGCATCACCACACTAGGAAATTGTGCCCTCAAGGAGAATATAACCACATCAAGGTCCCATGCCCTGTCTCTGGAACCATTGGCCTGAGGTCTTCCATTTTATATCAAGGCCAAGCTTCAGATTGCTGGCCTTCATTTAGACCACTATTGTGTCCAGGCATTGGTTGACAACCTGCATGGCCATTCCTCATTCAAATGTAACAGAGATACAATGCTGAGTATCAGCACACTGATGACATTTTAATTGAAATATACCAATGAATTCAAATACATGTTAAATAAAACTGAGAACAGGCTAGTAACCTTCTGCACCCTACAACAAAACTGCAGAGATAGATGGGTGAATGAAGGCGACACAATGCTGCTTTTAAAAAATTAATACCCTAGGTAAGAACAAAACCTCCATAATGTCATGCATCCAATCCCCAGATTATGGAGTCATTTCAGGAAGATACCATATACAATGGTATTGAAAACCACCAAAAGATTGAATCAGAGTATCAGGAAGGTACTCCTCTCTCCCTCCCTCTCTCTCTGTGTTGAACAACCAAGGCCAGTTCAGTTCTCAGAATTGAACCAGAGACTGAACCAGGATTGAACCAGAGTCCAGATAGCATTTTTTCTCCAAAGTAGTCTATGATTAACTGCATTTATACTCTTGACCACCTGCTCATTCACAACTGTGTGCTAGTTATCCGAAAACCTCTGAGTTCACAGTTCTTCAGGGACAGATGCATCACTCCCTTTTTAAAGATAGTGGGCAGTTTCCCTCTGGAACAAAAGGTTTATCACACTTTGGATCGGCCTGTGCAACCTTCTCTTCTTTAAATTCCAATAAGCCAAGGGCTGAGTATGTGTGGTCAGTTAAACATCAAGCACCCTCTCTACATGATCTGTCCATAAGAGCTGAAACTAATCACATGAACTAGTCCACCCCATATGGATCTGACACAACAACAGCATTCACATCACAACAGACACAGATGTCATTATTCTAGCCTATTCTAATTATGTGTGTTTGTCACAACAGGCCTGGACACAACAACAGCATTCACATCACAACAGTCATTATTCTAGCCTATTCTAATTCTGTGTGTTTGTCACAACAGGCCTATGATTTTTCTTGCACTGTAATCTCTGAGTTAACAAGCCATGAACCACTGGACAACTATTTGGGACAGCTTTTTGGGAAAGCAAATCAATCATTTTTCACTGTTCATAGTTACAGCTATGCAAGCCTAGTCACCTTTGCAGCAAGCATTATTCCATATATGCTCTAGCCCTTACCCAGCCTGTTTGACTGGCAAGTGGCTATATAAATTGAACAGTGGCAGAGATGGTGGCACTGTGATCATGCCAATGGCACAAGACATCCCAGAATTCTACAGTGCAACGGCTTGATAATAAATGCTGGTTGGTGGTATCCAGAATTACTCCAGGTAAGGTCTGACCAAAGCAGAATGGATCGGTACTATGACTTTTCTTGGTCTTGTCAACATAGTCTAGAATCATATTAGCTGTTCCTGCTATTACATCATGCTGTTGATAAATGTTTGGCCTGTAGTCTACTAAGACCCCTTATATCCTTGACACACATACTACTGTCAAGCCAGGTGTCATGCATTCTATATTTGCACATTTGATATAGAGTCCACATTCTAGCCTGCTGGTACAGGAAATTCATATTTAAGCCTCCCTAACAGATGGCATTCCAACCTCCAATAAAGATGAGTCTGTCATCTTCCAAAGTGGATGATCAGGCAGAGAGAATTCTGCAGCTGAGAGATTTGAAACCTGCTAGTTCCTGAAGCAGACAAAAAAAGAGTCCTCCAGACAGTGGGTGAAGGATCCATACAAATCCAGAAACTGAAGTAAGGGTTTAAGGAAGGAAACAGTGTTATCAACAAAAATACTAAAATCATCAAAACTAAATCAAGTAAAACCAATACTTCTCTATTAGTTTTATGCATCAAATGATTTCAGATTAGAAGATACTTTTCTAAAAATTATTTTCCCCATCTAGTCTTCTATAGTCAAATGATGGGAAATGTGAGGGGGATGTTGGGAGGGGTTTTTTGGGGGGCGGGGTTGTGAGTCAGTCAGCACACCTGCCCTTTTTTAACTCCTCTACTACTGAGTCCCTGGGAGTAGGGAATCTATGTATTCCAGAGTTCTCTGCTCCCCCCACAAGACATCCACCCACCAGCCTCATCTGTGGACATCAGTTCTTTAAAACAAATCTTGCACAGAGTGACTTGAATAAGCCATTGAATAGTAAATGGCATCATTATAAGGCTATTAAGAGGTCAGGCAGTCAAGGCCTCTTGCTAAACTGGAGCTAATTTCTGAATCATATTCACAAAATAATGCCCTTTTTATAATAGCAAATAAATCACATCAGTAATAGTTGTTAATAACAAACTGCCAAGTATCTGTTGTGCTGTTAAACATCCTATTTGTCAACTTAAATATTTCCCAGTGCATGGAAGAAAATACAAATTGGATGCTGCTGGCCAGCTTCCTTTGGTAAATTCAGTGG